AAGCTTTAAATGATCCTGAATTGGATGAACAAGAAAAAAATGATCTTATTAAAGATAGTGAAGGAATATTTAATCCATAATTTTGGAATCATGATAATTTTTTTAAATATTTTGGTGATATAAATGTGAGAACTCGTTATACGAATTTTAAAGACAGAAATAATCTTGAAATTGACAAAGAAATTATACAAGATAAAAGTAAAGAAGAATTAGGAAAAACAAATGTTTATTTAGAAAAATATAATGAATTATTACGAAAATATGAATATTTATTACATTTTGTGAAAAAACAGCATTCTGATATAGAAGACTTTTTTAAAAACATGTAATAAAAAAATATTTTTTTTTTATTTGTATTAGTTATATTACTAATTTTATTGATTAATTACTAATGATAAGTTTATCGATTCGAATTATTATTAATGTGAATTAATATAAAATAAAAGAATATAAGAATTAATATGAAAATAATTTTAATTATGAATTTTCTTAACGAAATATTGATAATGATATTTTCATATCTGTATGATACAGATCTTTTCGATTGTATTCTGGTTTCTAGACAATGGGCTAGAATTACTATTCCTATACTTTGGGAGAATCCATTTAAACATTATGAAAATAATGAAATTGATTCATTAAGAAAAGTCATATGCTATGATTTGGATGTAAAAGAATATTTTAAGAAAGGCAAGATTCCTATAAAGGATCATGATTCGATTCTTTTTTCCATATCTTAAATACATAAAAGAAATCAATACTTTTCAGATTATGAAAGTATTTAATAAGGAAATATGTAACAATATTAAAACTATAATATATATTATAATTGAATTATTATTCGAATCATCTAATTCAATTGAAATAATTTATATTTATGATTTATTTCATAATCTTGAAAGTTTAAATAAATACACGAAAAACTATTATGTTCACTTGACTTTACATGAAACCTTTTTGGATTTAGGAAATTTAGAAAATTTAGAGAGTATTATGAGTCTTGTAATAAAAGATATTCATAGAATAACATTATTAGAAGATATTCTTAAATTGAAAAATACTAAATCTCTCACATTGATCAATTGTCTTTTATACAATGATGATTACGTCTCTATCATGAAAGAATTGAAAAATTTAAATTATTTAAAAATAGGTTCTTTATGGATCAATCAAGGTGATGAAAAATATTTATTTGAAAAATCTTTAAAATATAAAAATATTAAAAAAATAGAAATTGAAAATTAATAAATTATTATATTATTTATGCAATACAAATTAAATATATGATTTATAAGAAAGTATTTGTAAATTTCTTTTATATAAATAAAGATGTTCGGAATCATATAAATTAAAAAAAAATAAAAATAGATACATCAGATATAAATTAGTAAATATTTTATTTATTTTATTTTATATGATTATTTAAAAATAATAATTATTTTTATTTTTAGTGATCGTATTTTAAAAGAAAAGATTAAGAAAGCTTTAGATGATCCAGAATTAGATGAAGAAGAGAAACGTGATCTTAAAAAGGGAGGTGTTTTTAATCCAATGAGATGGAATGAATCTAATTTTAAGAAATATTTTGGTGATATTCAAGTTCCTATATGTATGACAATATTCAAAGATGAAATAAGAATTATAAATAATAGAACAACATACGAAAATACAAACTAGTAAGATTTTTATTGTTTATTTTTTTTAATTATTATAATATAATTAAATAATTTTTAAATAGTGATTATATTCTGGAGAACAAGATTGAAGATGCTTTACATAATCCGAATTTAGATGATGATGAGAAAGGAGATCTTAAAAGATTTAGAAAGAAAGGAATTTTTAATTTATTTTATTGGAACGAAAATAATTTTAAAAAATATTTTGATGATATAGATGTTAAAACTTACGGAATATTTGATGAAGTAAAAATGATATTAGAGATGAAAAAGAAACAAGATCAAGAAAGAGAAAATGATATTTATTATAAATATAGAAAATTATCAAAACAACATGAAATTTTATCAACAAAATATAACGAATTTCATAAACTTGTAAAAAGACAACAATACGAAATTGAAAATTTTTTTAAAGAATAAAAAACTAGTTAAAATTATTTAAATAAAAAAAAAATAATATATTTTTTCTTAAATAATATATACGCAGTAAAAATATGACGTTTTGTTAAAAAAAATTAAATTTTTACGAGATTTTTTTTAAAAATTTTATAAAACGTCACATTATAATTAAATAAAAATATAACAATGATATATTACTAAATTTATCAAACAATGATTACATGATAACATCATGATTTTTAGAATACTAGTAAAAATTTGCCCTGAGATAAATAGCTTTGCTATTTATCGAATGAGATGTGAGACAACGTCTCATATCGATTTGAGATTGAGCTTCAAAGAAGCTCTATCGATTTGAGATTAAACATCATCGATGTTTTATCGATAAAACATGGGGAAACGAAATGAAATACAACATATTGAAGTATTTCGTTTAAACCATCAGCATAACACAAAGTAGTGAAGCGCCAATGGGAGTTTCCCCACATTCTGTAAAGATATAAAAGTAAAGATTTTCAAAGTTCAAAATTGAGTACATAAACTGAACTTTTGGGCAAAAAATCA